CTGGGAAATTCAGGTCCCCCATGACTACCACATCCCTAGTCGTTTCCTCATTTAAATTAGATCTGATTTCTAGCACCACCTCTTGAAAAGATGACAAAGAAAACAAACCTTTTAGTCATCCCAAGAGTTTGAAAGTTTGAAAGGTAAGAAGGACCTCACATTGAGAGTAAACCCTCTAATGCATCTCACCATAACAGACAAGGTTCTTTGGGTGAATCTGAGATCTTTTCTTAGACCAACTTAAATAGTTGGGGAAAATTTTTTTAGCAAGCTTTCGGATTTAAAAACCCTTTGGCAGGCTGAGGAAGTCGCTGCAGTTGGTGTGTGCTCTTCCAGGCATTTCTAACCCTAGTAGCAGTGATCACCTTGCTAAGGGAAAAAAAACAAATCCAAAAAAACCCAAAGAAGATAATTGGGTAAAGGTCTAGAAACTTAATCTAGAATCCAGTTGTAAAATCATTGCCACAATGAACACAAAAGCCACTGTGATCTAAAAACTATTTCACCATCTATTGGCTCTTAAAAACTGAAGGTCTTGGGCATGAGATTTTTAAACACAAAGCCCTGTCTGCCTAATTTAGGTGTTCAAAAATCAAGAGGCAATTATCCTCAAGAGCGGGAGTTAGCTGCAACGGCCTTGACCCAAATTTTCCCTCCCCTCCACTGTTACACAGCATTCCATCTGCTCCTTTTCAGCGTGATGGATGAAGTTTATCACAGGCTTTGAAATCTGCTCAAAATGTAACATCATTCTACAGTTCGTATATTAATGGGAATGTGTTAGCATTAGAGCAGGAAGTGGTATCACTTACCATCTTGCCAGGAAGATACACCTTAAAAAGTTTTGTGGAGTGTTAAAAACAACAACGTGGGGAAAAGACCTGCATCATGTTTCATTAACCTCTGTATTGTCAAGGATGTCTCCACTGGAAAATTGCATTAGGCAAGAGAAAGGGACAGTGTGTGGAAAGCAACTAAAACAGATATGAGAATAGATATGGCCAGTGAAAATAAGCCTTTTGCCTACATCAAGACCCAATACAACTTGGTTTTGGGAGCACTGAGTTTTCAGAGATTAAAGGTGATGGTCTTTACTATATGGCCTAGAGACATTACCATACAGAAGCTGAGTCACTCAGAAGTTTACAAAGAACATTCTTTTTATTTTTATTTTTTTTTTTTAATTACGATTGAAGAAAATCTTTAATACTAATCTTCATTAAAGAACCAGTCTGTGAGAGACAAAGTGTTACAGGCGCCAAAGAGCAGCAAGTCTAAAAATATTATTAAACCCCTCCCCTATAATAGGAAGAATACGTGGCATTGCATCCCAACAGTGGAGTCAAAGTAGAAGTGTCTCTAGAGTGATCCAATTTTAGTATAGATATTCTCAATTCCTTTCATCATGAACTAGAGACCTAGTAGGCAACTGTCAAGCCTATGGCTCATGGTGTACGTGGAAGAGGTCTAGTTAGGTGCCTGATGAGTCCAGTTGTACGGGGTCCTGAGACCATCACACCAAGACCTTCGATGCGTATGCCCAAGCAAGACTATGGAGGAGTGGAGGGCTGCTCAAGACCTACCATCTCCCCTTTACACCACCGAGACAGAGTCCAAAGGCCAGACCAAGTCTAGACATTCAGCGCCTCGATGGTTGTAGCTTCTGCCAGAGAGAAACAGATCAGAGTTGCTCCTGACTGCTGAATGTCTCTGCAAGGGTGCGCTTCTTTTAGGGTGACATCCTTTAGCATTTCTACAGCCAGAGTCCCCATAAGACAATGACAGCTAAGGTTTTGAGGTGCCTTATGCTCACCTTACTCTGGAGGCTGCAACATTGTACCAATTTATAGGAGCCACCCTGCTCCCAGACCCCACCGTCAGAAGCAGTTTACAGTCATACCCAGGACCAATAAACAAGAGAACATTTCAGGTAAAAAACAAACAAACCAGGGAGTTCAAAATAGATGCATTTCAAGATTGAGTGGAGGGTTAAAGAACCAAAACTGTTAGAAAAAAGAGCAGGTAACCTGAAGCCTCCAAGCTCTCACCTGGCCACAACCTGCCCCACTGCTGCAGCTGCAACAGCAGCCAGACTCTCCAGGCTCCCCCACCTTCCTTTGGCTGCTGCTTCCTGTCCTACCCCAAGGGCCAGGGCAGGGAGACCGAGGTGAGTCTGGGCCATGTGACGGGAAGGGATTTTGGCTGTATGGAGAGTGTGGGGGAAAAGTGATCACACCCGCATGGAGCAGCAGCGGAGGAGGGCAGCCCAATGCAACAGGGCTGGGGAGTGCCCACAAGGCACACATTGCAGTGGAAGGCAGGGGGGAGACACCTGGGGAGGAGGCAGGAACAAAAAATAATCATCATCATCATCATCATCACCACCACCATCACACTTGTGCACCTACATGGTGCAGCAGTGTAGGGGTGGGTGCCCACACAGGCACAGGACACAGCAGGGGGGAGCGTCCACACTACGCATAGCCCTGTGCTCACGAGCCCGGTGCAGCCTGTGTAGCATGGGGCCCCTGCTGGGAGTGGCCCTGGGGGCTTATAAAAGTTAGATAGACCTGCATTGAATAAACACTACTGTGTACCTCTAGTACCCATTAAAAGTGAACAAAGTTATTTTGATAAACTCTTTAAAAAGCCAACAGTTATCTTGGGAACTGCATGTCATGGCTCCATATACATGTAAACAAGCTACAAGGAAATAGCAATTTAGTTGCCATTTTTCAGAAACCGTGTTAAAGTCTACACATCCCAGCTTGAAAGGTTCCCTCCCCACCCTCCCATTCAATCGGTATCAAATTGTGTCATAATGATGTACTTACTGATTTGCGGGGCTGGCAGAATTCGTGCAGCTCGAACTGGACCATGACGGACAGAAAAGAGCTCTTGTGCTTCACCGCTGATCTGCACAAATGGTGCAAGGAAGATTACATTTAGTACACCAAAGCAAACAAACCTCTCTCCACCCCTGATTCCTTCACTTTGCCCGCCCTCCCACAAAGCCCAAACCCCGAAGCAAAGTGGGCTCAGGTGCAACTCCTTCAGAGTCTTGTACAGTGCTATAACACTGTAACAGGATGTTCCTGTTGCCCCGATTAAGAGTTGGTAATACCCTGCAGCAGTCTGAAGGTTAGCTGCTAATTTCCAGATCAGGTATCATTCTTTAATTTCCTCCCTAATTTGACTGAGGTGTATATCTAAAGGTTAACAGGTCCATAGGGAAGGAATTCAAAGGAGATCATTTTAGACCAGGGTTCAATCCAGTGTCCCTTTGGAGCTCCTTTTTTTTTGTTTTAAGATAATAAACCAGTGTCAAGGAGGGAAAGACATTTCAACTCGACTGACTCATCTGCATGAGTCTCTTTCACCAATTCATCTTATTCAGTTAACATAAAAAACAACACACTCCAAACATACTGATTAAACTAGTGCAAACTTAGCAATTTTAGTTTATACAAGACCTACAGGGAGTAAGTTAAAATGCAGAGGATATTCTTTTCTCTGTTACCAAAGTTGACCCAAAAGTGTCACATAGAAGACTATTTACAAATCTTTAAAAACAGTGACCAAGTACTTTAAACAGAAGTCCTCTGCCTTTAGAAAGTCAGTGTCTTCCGCTTGGCTACATAAAGGTATAAAAGCACTATGTAACATCCATAAATAGCATGTACTGCAGGAAAAAGCAAGTCTTCAGCTTGCCTACTGATGGATTTTGAACTAAAATGCTAGAAATTCCAGAACAGTTTATTCTACACTGTGTATTCCATAGTAAAAGAAAAACTATCGAGGATTAAGAGAGACAAATATTGGCTTTTAAAGTCAAAGTATCTGAAAATACGTGCACCATATATTCCATGGGTATGAAAACTATGTTTCAGAAGTCAAACTAATTAAATTTGTCATTAATGGAAGCCCTGAGGAGATTAAAATCACAAGTAGTTAAGAAGAATTTCTAGACTTCCTATAACTGGTCAGTCAGAATATATTTTCATAACTGATTGGTAATGGATCAAATATGGAATGTCAAACTTCAGGAAAATGGCAAACATGAAACTAATGCCCCAAACCAAGAACTTAAATATGCAATGAGGCTAAAAAAGTTAACAAACATCTTGACACATTATTTTGGAAAATAAGCCAAATAAGCAGCTTAAACTATGTATAGTATGAAATTAAGAACTTTACAATTTGTAAATATTACACTACAAACCAAACCTAACCTTTTAAAATGCCTTCTCTACAATTACGTTCTCCAGCTTAGTTCACAAATTAGATAAAATGAAAATGCAACTATTTGAACAAACCATGAATATGGCATCTCAGACCCCACCCCCTTACTGCAAATTCTTATCTATCCATCTTACAATTTATTACCATTCTTATGAGTAACGCATGCACAATTCCAGCTTATCCTCTTGAAGAATCTGGCTTTTATGAAAGCCATGTGCAAATACCATACTTAGTACAGAACACTTCTTCAGAAGTAAACACAATACATTTAACACTCCGATTCCAAATTCCTACTGTATGTCTTCATAAAACCAGAAACAACCTGCAGGGCTCAGTAAGGAAATTTAGGGAAACACTGATCTTTAAATGTCTTTGCAGAGACAAAGCGCTCCCTTCCATTCTCATGCTGCTATGAATCAGGAACAACTCCAGTCAAATGATTAGAAATACTCCCCGATTTATTCAGATGTAAAACTAATGTGAACAAGACTAGGATCAGACCCTTAGTCTACCCTACTCTAATTTTATTAAATAATTCACATCACAGATTCTGCTTTGCAACTGATTAGCAGTGCTTTTATAGCGCATAACATTTTAAGATTACTTTACAAAAAGAAATGGAAACACTACATTTTATTTGATAGCAGTCATTTTGCAACAGAACAACAAGTGGTCCCCACCTTCTACTTGCAAACTAAGTCATGTGTCAACCAAAACAACTGGATAATATTGAGAAGCCTAACGGATGAAGCCACCTTTCTTCCTAGATTTAGTTGACTTCCTTGAAAACAGCACATGGGTTTGGGACAGGGAAGCAGTGAGAAAACTCAGCAAGTGGCTGAACCAAGAGGAAAGGTGAACGTGGAAGAAGGTACCACGTATTTACATGGAGAGTGTGGTTAGGCAAGAAGCTTGCTGAGAAGAAAAAAAAGAGGGAGACAGACACACATGTGTAGACAGGAACAGATTTCCTATTTGTGGAAACATAGCAATTCTCTAAAAACAGGAAACAAAATGGGAAGGCATAAGATTTCAAAACTATTATTATTGGCATTTAAGGGTTTTTTCCTCCCAAAAAAATATGAAAAAAAAGTGCTTCATGCATGTGTACGCACATCAATGGCTGCAAATGAAAACAAAAGGGGGAAAAAGAACTAACATAACAAAAGTACGGAAGAAGTGATTCATATAGAATAATACAACCCGATTCCATCACCTCGCACTACTTTTTAAGCATGCCAACACATCAGCTCCAGCTCCAAGCTACTTCAAATAAAGTAAGAGTCTTAACAGTAAAAACTAGTAAGAAAGCCAAACATCCTCAAAGTTTCTGCTCTAAAATATACTTAGTTCTGGAAAGCATACTTATTTGGCCTGGGATAGTAAGATGTGGTAAAGCTTTCAAAGAAATCTAACACAATTAGGCGTCCAAATCCAATTGAAACTTATTGGTCATTTGACACCTAACTCCCCATGGCACCTTTGAAAAGCCCAGCCCAAATTACTTATGGATAGATAATTAATTCCCAGCACTCACGGGAGGTATTATCCCTATTTTACAAATGGGGATAATTAAGGTAGAAGAGAAATTAAATGAAATACTTAGAGATACCAAGTCAGTCAGAAAAAAAAGAGAAATTGGCAGCTCCCAACCCTGTTCTCAAACCACTAAAACAGATCTTTTTCTTCTGGCTTAAGACAAAATTTACTCAAATAAGGAAAACTTTTTAGAAGCTTACACGCCTACATCTGCAGTGTCACCGTACTAGGATGTCTATACTTTACTATGCAGAGCACATACTTGGCAGGGTGCGTGTTGCTCAACTTATTTGGTGAGATTAGGAAAAAAAAAAAATAGTGACAGACTGTAAAGTGTTCTCCTATGCTTCTGTAGATTTTATAATAAACTACAACTGTACCAAGTGATTTGAAATGAATGCTCTCTAGAAATCTACAGAAAGCCAACGTACATCAGCAAAATAAGGAGCAGCTACAATGACAACGCTAGTGAAGTGTCCTTAGTTCCTATATAGCATTTTTTTATCCAAACATTTCAAAAGTGCTTTACAAAAAGAAGCAGTAATAATACAAAGTGAAAGATTTATAGTGTACTAAAGATCCTCGTTGCTCCTTAGGTGTGCTTGGAGGAAAAAACATCTCTGGGTGCATACACACATACTAACTTTGACAATTAAGCCAACTTATCAGAGTGTACACATGTATGTGGAGCAGAGTCGACTCAAATGTGACACAAGATAATACACATGCAAGGTGTAGTATCTTGAGTCGCATTACTTAAGTTGATTTAGCTCCCAAGGTGGCTGCCACCATGTCAAGGAGCTTTACGTGTGTATGCTCCGACATGGCTTAACTCGAGCTGACTTCATTAAGTCAACTTAGTTAAATTGCCTTATTTTAAGCTGACTTTGTACATGCGTACACACCTTCCTCAAGGTCTTCTTAATTAAAAACTTAGAACAAAATTATTCAAATAGATAAGTTCTGCCCAACAGCACCTTTTCTAACTTGTGACTTACATTCATTAAAGGTCCTGAATTGACCCAACTGAAGACTCATGTTTCCAATTTATTCATAGAACAAGCAAAAAGCTTTATCATCATCACTGCCGAGCTAATGCGGCTCCTGATCTGAAAGCACCATCTCCAGATAAGAGATACCGGAGCTTTGTGTTCTTGCCAGTTGAGTCCTTATCTCCCTACTGAGGCTGCCAACAGGAGGGGTCATTTATTCCAGTTGTAACTGGACTAGAACAAACAACCGTCTTTATTATAAGCCATCCAGTCACCGAATGGCTAACCATTTTGTCACTAGCAGTCTAAGCTGGGTGTGAGCTGGCAACTATTAAAAGGTGAAAGGCTCCATACCCCATTACCAGTCCCTTGAGTTTCCTAGTCTCCTGAACTTAAACGAAATATAAATAGACTTTAGGAACTGAAAACTAAGCTTATAATTCATCAAAAAGCATCTATGGAGAAAGTTGCTTGTGGCTGCCATTTTGGATTTATTCCAGCTAAATAGCGAGTCCCTACGGCAGCATTCAAAGTTCTTGGAAGTTTCCTTTTCCTGTTCCAAACGCCAAGAAAGCTTCCAAACATTTTAAGAACCGAAAACAAAGCTTTCAAAGCAGCTTCAGGTATTCTTTCTACAAAAAGGGTGAATCCGAAGTAGCAGCTACAAGCTGGTGTGGAAGAACTTAGCAACTTCCACAGTGCACGTGGTCAAGCCACAGGTTGACGAGACTTAAATCTGCAGACCTGCCTGCAAGATAGTAAGCAAAGGTTCCATCCAAACTGAGGTCAGATACCCAAATGAAGACTTCATCCCTTTTCCCCCAGGTGAGAAGAGATCAGGAAAAGGGAGGAAACAGTTTCTTCTCCCCTTGCACATTTTGGGCTACTACTTTAAAAGCATAATTTAGTTTATGACCGCTGCTTAATTTTATGACAGAATTTTGTTGTTTGGGACATACCAGTTTGGACCCGTAACAAACAGCAGAAAGAAAGATTTGTTCACGCTGCATGGAAAAAAATAATATTTTCCGACCATAGAAAATAGCTTTCACATGGCGAAAAAAAATGCCAAAATGTACACAAACACCAAAATTGAAGATTAGAAATCTGATTCTTAAACTAAAATGCAGACATATAAAATTG